TGAATTTCAGATTGAAGAAGAAGAAGAAGAAGAAGAAGAAGAAGAAGAAGAAGAAGAAGAAGAAGAAGAAGAAGAAGAAGAAGAAGAAGAAGAAGAAAAAGAAGACATAACATACATTATATTGCAGAAATTGTAGAAAAATTGTAGATAAAGTGTAGAAAAATTATATTCTGTTGTTTATTTATTTTTCTTTTATTCATTTAACTATTGTATGAAAGTTGAACAACATTGTATAAAAATTATATTTAAGTGGTATTATATTATAGTTGTATATACCTTAGTAGAAATAATGTACGAAAATTGTAGATGGTTTGTAGATAAGTTGTATAATATATAATTAGTTGTATGAAATTAATGTTTACCATATATAAATCATATACAAAATATACAAAAGACATATTGTACAAACTTTGCATAAAATTTGTATGTAAGTTTTATGTTATTGTAGTTGTATTTCACTGTGTGGAAATAATGTGTGAAAGTTGTAGAAAATTGTAGATAAGTTGTATTCCTCTATAACGGAAGATGTTGGCATATCAAGTAACTTTAGTGTTCCAGACGAACATGCATGAAAATAAAGATAAATTCTGTTATGAACAATTTGTAGAAATTTGTAGATAATTTGTAGAAACATTGAAATTCTGTATTTTCATATTAATTTTTCAAATGATATACAATTTTATTGTAGAACAAATGTAGAAAACAAGCCATTGTGAGTCTTATTTGACTTATTCCTCACATTCAACATATTCTACAAATTCACGTCTCTTTAAATACAATACAACCATACTTTCTTCAATTTAAAGGTATAGCAATATATATAACTTAAAAAACATCTTCTCCTCTGCACAAGTTAGCTCCAAAACAGACGAAGTTGAACAACGAGCTCCCATCAAAATTTTTAACACAAAAACACAAAAGCTCAAAAATAAATAAACAATAGTCTACAATTTTTCTATAATTTATCTACAATTGCTGCAATATAATGTGTGTCATGTCTTCTTCTTCTTCGAGTTTCAATCTGAATTTAGCCAAAACCAAGTCTAATCTTCAACAAAATCCCTCAAAATTGAGATATAAACTCCAAACCATATTCTCAATTATTTACAACAACACCCAAACCAAACAAATAATGATTTTTAAAAACCCAAATTTGAACTCAAAGCTTCAAAGCTTTTTAATGGCTGTCAATGGTGGCATTGCTGCTCTCTTTTCCTTTCCTCTTATATTAATGAAGAAACCGAAATCATAGCCATCAAATCGACCAGGCTTGCTTATCTTCCCTGGACACAAAAACATTGGGACAAGATTGCAGAGGTGCCGACAATGCCTTGGCTATGGAAGAAATAATGAGATTTTGATACAGAAATCATGGGTGTGGGAGGGAAACGTGGGTGAAGGTGAGAGAATTGGAGAGAGAAACGTGGAGGAGTGGTATTAGAAGGAATATACGGTACCATTAAATTAGGAGCGTAATTAATACCCTTAAAAATCACTAATGGTATATAATTGGTAATTAGGTATACTAAATGTAATTATATCAAACCTTAAACATTGAGGGTAATATAGTTTCTTATGGCATAGGAATGTAAAAATTCCAATTAAAAGCTAAATTGTGAATCGTTTCTCTTATTCTTTTAGGAGAATAAAACTACTGAGTTTTTTTGATAATTGGTTTGAATTTGTATCCAGTCTTTAGACAATATTCATCATCCATTTAGTAATGCTTTGAATGACGTAAGTTGAAATATAATCCACAACTTTTAATAAACAAAAAGAAAAGGAAAAGAAACAAAAAACGAATTTAACGCGCCAGGTAGGGGTCGAACCTACGACTTTCTGCTTAGGAAACAGACGCTCTATCCACTGAGCTACAGGCGCTCTGTTGCTTAAGGAATGTGACTAGTTTTATATGTCTCTTGTTAGAAAAAACATTTTATTGGCAGAACAACTGAAACATTTTTTTTTCTTCCGAAAAGCATTTTAGATTGTACTCCATCCTCCTAGTGGATTTCACTGTATCGTCGTCATTGTTGTATTTTAAATTGTACCCCAATTTTTATTTGGCTATGATTTTATCAAACATTTTTAGATGTATTAAAATTAATAATTATTGAACTTATGTGATTTTCAGTCAAGTGAATCAATAAAATACTAGTATGAAATAAACCCCAAATTGAAGAAACTAAAACCCCAAAGCAAAGCCCTTTTTGCATCTGCTTAGTAGCCTCAACAGACATGGCGACTTTCACCGCCAGATCCCTCCTCCGCTCCGCCACTACCTCCGGCCGAACAGCCGCCGTTAGACTTTCCGGTAGTTCCAAACCAAAGGCCTCTCCCTCCCCCATTCGTATCCCTTCACAGAAACCACTCACCGCTCGCATTTTCAGGTCATTATCCGAAAACATTGTTTTCAATTTTTGCATATATATATATATATATCTATATCCATATCTATATCTATATATATATCTATCTATCTATCTATATATATATCTATATCCATATCTATATCTATATATATATCTATCTATCTATCTATATATATATATACACAAAAAAAAAAACATATATATACTCTCCGTTTCATTTTATGTGGCGCATTTTACTGTTAATATATTAAAAAAGAATAACATATTTATATATTTAGAAATAATTTAACTTTAAAAATTACTTTTTTCCTTTAATGAAATGTTTTGTATCTACACAAATGTGTATGACTTGTTTTAGACCATAAATTGGGACGGATGGAGTATAAATTTTCACCAAGAATATTTATCATTAATTGTTTCTATATAATATTGAACCAGATACATTTTTTCCTTATATTTTGTAGGTCACCTGTTGAAATGAGCTGTATAAGAGTGGAAACGTTGTTTCCATATCACACTGCTACTGCCTCTGCTTTGCTGAATTCCATGTTATCTGGCACTCCTAGGTGCTATGGTTGGACTCTTGAAGGTATAATTACATATTTTTTATATTATTATATGGATCCATACGAGGATTAGTTTGTAGGGTGCTTGATTTTATGCATATTTGTTGAAGATGTAGAGCCCTTTTGGGCAAGTTGAATTCAAGTAGCTTTTAAGCACCGAGTGCTGAATTTATGATTAAGCAGTTATGTATTTGAATAAAAGTGTTGAAGCTGAAAATAAGTTGTTGATGTGATAATCACTTTTTCTGTCCAAATGACTGAAAATGTCCTTAAAGCTCGTAACACCAAAAATAAGTTTATTGGTGCAACGTTTATAATTTTAAATTAATTCAAACACATATTACATTTGTGTATCAACTTACTTTAAGTAAGATTATTTTTAATAAATGTAAATTATCATTATTTAATTAACATATACTAATTAATTTTATTGACTAAAATTTGAACGTAAAAAACATACTAAAATACTCTAACCTTTTGTGGTTGTACGTCACTTTGACAACTTCCAATTCAAGTTCAAACAATAACAGTTAAAGAACCAAATTTTCCCTTTTTGTATGACAATTACTAACACATATAGTATTGAATTTTTTTAAAATTATCTGAAACAAGTTTTAGAAGAGTCTATTATGGTGAAACAAACATTTATATCACCTAAGCTAGTCATTCTAATGTAGAATGCATATATAAACCTAAATAATGCTAACATTGAACAGTTTATAAGTTCGTAAACCAACAACCTAATGCTCAAATACCACATGCTTGAATGCTTTAGGCTCAACAATTTATAATCAAAAAATGGTAAGAATAATAGTATGTATCTTGAGCGGATATGAGCTGTCACACCTCCTTTTTGCGCGCCTACCCCGAAGGATAAATGCGTGAGGGAGTTTTTCCAATTTAAGTGACAATATTTGAAATGAGATTATTTATTTAATTCAGAGTCGCCACTTGGGAAAGGTTTGGCTTTTGGTGTCCCAAGTCACCGATTTATCTTGAATCCCAATTCGAGGAAAATATTCGACTTTCCAAATGAAGTCTGCGAACCAGAAATTCTAAGTAAGGAATTCTGTTGACCCGAGGGAAGGTGTTAGGCACCCCCGAATCCCGTGGTTCTAGCACGGTCGCTTAAATTGTTGTAATGGCTAAATATCTGATTTTTATACATGTTATAACTTGTGTGCTTTTATTAAGTTTAAACCGCTTTTATTATTATTTTTTAATAGAATTGCAACGTCGTGAAAATGCATCTCGAACCACGTCACAATCAATGCACCCGTGGTTGTTAATACGTTCCGACTCCGTTGAGATTTGGATTTGGGTCACATAAATGCGCACCCGAATTTAAGCATGTAATTCAATTAAAATCGCGTCTAAAGAGTCTAACGCGTTATTATCTTTGGGGAAAGCCGTGAAGTTCGTTAAATGGCCACTCCCGAAATCTAAGTAATTATTAACATCTATTGAGGGCCCCGCAGTTTGTGCGTCTTTGTTTGGCGAGGCTCGCCTCATTTATTTTAAGGATATCCTAAAGTGACTACATTTC